CCACGTCTCATGTCCCCTTCTCTCTCTGTCTCGAGCCAGAGAATGAGGCGTGCCACCCCAGGCGTGCCAGGTGTTCACGGGGTACAGCACAAACCCCCTTGACCTGAGCTCTGGCCAATACCATGACGTTGGCTGTCATGAAAAAGTCATGAAAAAGGCCCAGAATTATCAGATAATTCAATGACAATGTACTAACACAGTGTGTTCTCCTATAACACTGCGTGTTGTTTTCATAACGTGAATGGGACATAACGCGATGAATGCATTCGGGAACAGGTTTTTTTATAACGCGGATGCGAATTGGATATAACGCGGTTGAGTGAATGGAACTACGTCGCGCGAGTAGAGATAAGCGGTTGTACGGCTGCCTTGACGTAGAATCACACGAGGTTTTGGGATGATGCTGGATGCTTCTAGATGCTACCCACGCGCCTCAGTATTTGTTCGGCCTGCGTACGCATCTCACGTGTTATCGCGGACTGTACTTTACCCCCTATATTATATATTATAACGCAATGTTTCCATAACGCGGTGTTCTTCCGGAACGCAACTACAGCTTCATAGAACAGACTGTATAGAGTCCTCCCAATATAACATGTCCATTGTCATGACTCATGTGTAAACATCATGGGCTAATGCCTCAAAGAAGACTGTGGGTTGGAGTTGGACCTTCTTCAAAACAATATAATACGTCCCAAGGTTACGGATTACTGACCCTGAATGAAGGCAGATCCAACATTGTACTGCACAGGTCAGGTACGCGCTCTCTCTCTCTGTTGTGTCCATGGGGGTCTCCAGATGTGTACCATGCGTTCATGCATTTCGTACAGAAACATTGCACTTCCAAGGATCCTCGTAAACATCAGCGGTGTCGAACGACCGGAACACAACGCAAACACCCGCGCCACCACCCGTCTCATCCTCGCACTCCCCTCCCCTATCGTCACCGGTCTACGGCTTCCACATCTCCTGGCCGCCCACCAGCCTCCTGGAAGCGCTCGCAAGCCCTCGGGTCGTCAAGGCGCACGCCAGCGCCTCCCTCGCAGCCCTCAACTCGACCGTTGCCCCTTAACCGCGGCGGTTCGTGGCGCAGCGCCGCCGGCTCCAGCGGCCACCGTGGCGGGTTGGCATCCCAACAATCCCGCGGGGGGAGCGGTGGTGCAGCGGTAGGATGATTTTGATGACAATGTAAATGTTGAAAGCGCCCTTAAAATATAAACGTTCGAACCCGGCCACCAACGCCAGTGAGGATTGTCCCAGCCGTTCCTGCGCCTCCCCTCGGGTCGACTCAGCCTCATACGAGTACCCGGTGCGGTGTGTAGTAAACATAGCCACTGGGGAGACAAAGGCGGCCGAGCGTGTGCCGTGCCGGCCTTCATAGGCGCTACTCGCTAACAGCACTTGCCCCAATAGTATGTTAAGGCTACACGGGGGATCCTTGTCTTTCGTGTACTGTACATGTTTTAAATAATTCTCTTTTATCGGTTACCGATTCCGAAAGTCCGTCCGTGAATCTGTAATCGTTTGCGTGGTGGAATCTGACCAGGGTGCAGGAGGTGGGGTTGTACCCACACTTTACCCCACCATGGGCCACCCGCCGATCCGGCGACTTTGTGTGACATTTCATCACCCCGGCGCGCTGCCTGTGGGCGGGCTTGGAGAGAGCTGCCCCACTGTGCAGACGGAACCCCGCCAAGGGCAGTCGGCCTCACCGCCAAAGGGACAAATATTCCCCGTGTGGACTCGTGGGGAGCGGTGGCGCAGCGGTTAGCGCTACGCTGCGCGTGGCCTCCGAACCTGGTGGACCCGAGTTCGATTCCCGCTCACGGCCAACGCCGGTGACGATTTGCTGAACCGGTCCCGGGCCTACCGTTGCCTCAAATGAGTACCTGGTGCGGTGTGTGAACATCGCCACTGGGGGAGACAAAGGCGGTCGGGCGTGGTGCTGGCCAGCCGCCCCCTCGTGTACCGTGCCGGCCGACAGAGGTTGCTACTCGCTAACAGCACTTGCCCCGCCAGTCTGGGCCCCATCATCAAAGACAAAGATCCCCCGTGTAGCCTTAGCAGAATGTTGGGGCAAGTGCTGTTAGCGAGTAGCAGCACCTATGAAGGCCGGCACGGCACACGAGGGGGTGGGTGGCCAGTACCACGCCCGGCCGCCTTTGTCTCCCCAGTGGCGATGTTTACACACCGCACCCCAGGGCAGTATAGAAGGTAGAACGGGCTTCTATGTCTGTGTGGAAAACCGGTAACCGGTTTCCTTTCCGTGTTGTTTTCCCCTTCCCCATTGCGGTTACTGCTAGCGATGAAGCACGGTTGGCTACGTACGGTGCGAAAGAAGTTCAACATACATCGAGTAGTAACGGCGAAGAATAGAACTGTTCCAACAACTCGAGTTGCTGGTACTGTAAACAATACAGTTACAACATCCCGCCCCCCCACCCGGTACAAGCCATTAAACAGACTGTTGGGGCAGGTGCTGTTAGCGAGCGCCTATTAAGGGCAGCACAGCAACCACGCCCGACCGCCTTTGTCTCTCCCGCACAGATAGATTTAACACACCGCGCCAAGTATCGCCAGGCACAGTACTCATTTGTGTCTGAGTCGACCTAAGAGATGCCCACGAACGGTTCAAATATTGGGGAATCGAACTCGGGTGGCCGGGTTCGTGTCACAGTGCGCTAACCACCGCGCCACCGCTCCCCATAAATTGGGCACAGAATCTCCAGCAGCGCGACTCCGTGGCGTGTGATGTTTACTGCTACGTTTAATGATTTAGCGAGTTTACTTCATATGTTGTCGATAATTGTCGAGGATGTATTTAGTAAGTTTATTAAATTGTGTAGTCGACTTTTGAACCTATATACAGGGTGTTAAAAAAATGTTAACACTCATATGGCACTATCGTTTTTAATGGGAAAAGAACGGATGTATGTTAATAGCTCAAAAAGTCAAAGAGTCTCCACTTGTTCGCCATCATTGTCAACACGTCCCTGGAATCTTCTCCAGGTGATCCTCAGAGCCCGAAGGCACATTTCTAGTGGTATTGTTGGAAATTCTAACATATTTTTGAAGCACCCTACAAATATCCATGCCATCGCTACGTGGAGCGCAGACGAGAGAGGTGCAGGCCCTAGACAAGGCAGCGTGCACGCCACTAAGAGCCCTCTTGGAAAACAAACAGCGAATCCAACTTCACGCGAAATATCGCTACAGCAATGCATTACAGTCGCACGCGTACGAGGAACGGATGTCACCAACGGTGGATTAAACAAACGCTTGTTTACAGCAAGTCCTACCTTAAACTAGAAGACTAATAATGCGCTTTCACAATCGACGGTGAAACAACGACGGTGAAACATTTTCACAAGTGAAAATAAGCAAATAGCATTGCCAGTAAGCGTATATATGACTCGAAACACTGATAATGACGATGGTAATTGATGGGGTGTGATGTGAGAGACGCTGTTTCTAGGGCCTTACCGAACTCATTTAGAAACTGTTTACACTCGTGCTCACACATCTGTGTGGCAATTTTGGACAAAGATAAGAATTTAAAATAGATTTTATTAGAATAATTTGTAAATTCATTCCATAAGATATGAGTGTTGAACACAAAATATATACGGCTAATGTCTCTTAAGTTTTGAGATATTTCACGTCGCAGATGCTAATGATCAGCTCGTGGCCTGAATAATTTTGATTTTGTAACAATGATACAGATTATTAATAATCCTTAAATAAATAAAAATATTCACTTGTTTTGTAAGTTTCCGAACTTGAATTACTATTATTAAACAGTGTAACGGAAAATTGTTTAAAAAAAGGTTGCTTTTCAACATTCCTCCGATTTGCAGATAAACCAAAATTGGTTCTCACAGCTGCCCACGACGTGACAGCTTGAGTTGATTGGCTCTGTCGGGTGGTGGAGGGTTATCGTAACAAAGACAAATCGACATCTATACCTCAACGAACTCACCCAAAAGAGAACAAATTACGAATCGTATTGGTTACGAAAGTCCGTATAACACGCATCACTGGAAATCTACGAGTAGCAGTAAAAAGGCAAACTACCTGAAGGGTATTCATTTAATACTCCACTTGGTTCTGAAATAAATGAAAAGTTACGGCAAATATTGCGCAATTAGACGGCATCTGCTCTAGGTGTGACCTGAGCAGCTGTTTTGATTTAAAGCTTTCGTGATTGCAGGGATTCATATTCTTGGTTCTTTCTTATTTTATTGTTTCCCTTCTACGTGACTTTACTGAGCAGCTGCGTTCAATGGGAAACGGTGGAATCGCTACGCGCTAAAGGCCTCGTTTGTTTCTGGCTACGCGAAACACATCGACACATCAGCGCAGGCACGCATTATGGCAAGCGGGAGTTCTCTATATGCTACGTTTATTTAACATTCAGCACATTTTATTTTGCAATGGGGGGGCGGGGGGTGGATAGAACATAATGCTTGGTTTTTATAAAGAACGGACAATGCGTGCCTATTATTTTCATTTCCAATGAGCTCTGAAGGCTGTGTTCAAAATAAGCCATAAAAATACACAAGGGTAAAATTAACTAAAAGGCAGTATACTTTGTTACAATTTAAATATTATTATCAAATACTGTACACACACACACACGTAATAACAATTTGGTAACAAATCATCATAGGAGAAGCTCACAACACGACAATCTGATGGCAAATTTTAGGACATTTAACAATAGCACGGCATTTACAAACCGTCACGCTATCAGCAATATTCACCAAAAAGACAATGTTGTTTTTCACTGTTCAATGCTTTGGCTTTCACCAGAATATGGTTGTAAATTGCAAAATTGAATAAATAAATTAAGGGTCTCTACAACATTTTGGGGATTTCCACGATGAACGATGAACGTTCAGCCCCTTTTGTCCGATCACCGAGAGACGCGAACGCCACGGCCGGGCGTCTCCATTCGGGCGTCGTGCCGGGCTCGACTTCGGAACGGCTTCCACCCTCACCTGCCCGGGACTCGTGACGGTCACAATCGCGGCGCTGCCCAGAGCCGTTCCTGCTCGGCGCTCACGCGCAGCGACCATCAGACCGGCCCCTCGGTCTCTTGGCTCCACATTAAGTTCGAACGAGAATGCCTCCACCACGTTCACATGAGGTGCCAACGTGTCCCACTGCATCGTGATAACCGGGCGACGTGGTCGCGCGTCGAGACGTGCGCCGAGATGAACGCGAAAAGCCAACGGGCGCCGCCGCATTGCTTATTGTTATTGCGATCGTGCCCGCAGCGAGATGAATTACGCCTATTAAATCACACTCGCACCTACACCTCATCCCATGTCCCACAAAATAGAGCCCAAAGAATGGCTCACTGTGGAAATAGTGCGCATGCTTCACGCGCCCCGCAACTATTAAAGTATTCAATTGACCGCTCGCCGCGAAAAACAATCTCGGCACTGAAGGGGGTTTTGTGCCACGGGCCGCCCGCGCCTGTTAGCGCCAGGCTGTATCGCGTGGAAATGTTTGCCCATTGCCTCGTGCGCAAACACGGGGCTGGGAGGGAGCGCTTGCACAATCGGGCGCGCACAGCTGACACTCTGTGCGGGCCGCGCTTGTGCGGAACAAGCGTGAATGGACACAACAAGACAGCAAAGAGCCGCGGGCTCGCAGAGGAGCCGCGCGGGCATTAATTTTGTATTTTCTCGTGCGAAGCTGTGGGTGTTGCGGGGACTGAAACACAAGAAGTGGTCAATAGAAATTAACGCTCCGCGAGACTGTGCTTCTTGCTAAGGTAAATAGCAAAAAAACATTATTTTATTACATTTTTTTACGAGCGCAGACAAACAGGCCCTTGTGTATTGTGCATTTGAAGAACAAGACTCAGCCTCATGAAACTTTTTCTTGCACTTTTCCAAAGCTCAGTGCAATGCTTTATGACAAATTTATAATCTCTGGACTGAACAGTGCTCAAATTTAAGATCAGCCAAGTCAACAAGCAGCTCTTTTTTCAGCGAAACATTATTTTTTCTTGTGCTAACAGAGGGCTCTGAATGTCCGCTGTCAGAGTCCGTGTTGATTTTGGCCCGACACCCAAGCTCAGTCCCGCCTGTGCTCATTATCATCCGAGTATGTAATAACACAAGAGCGGCATGACACAGAGTGCCGCTCTGTTGTGTGATATAATCTGGCTGTTGTTCGCGTCCGCCGGCGCACAATCCGGCACTTGTCGGCCCGAAATGAAATACCTTAACACCCAGCCTATAGACAGGAAGTGAGCAGTCTGGCTGGACTTAGGAGCGGTTTGTTCCCTGCCCGGCCCTGCTCCGAGCCCCCAATGCCTCCGTCGTGCCACACAACTCCCCATTCTCTTGCTGCTATATTACACCCCGCTCGCCACCAGCGTGCGCGCGGTGGTGGCCTCTGTCGCCGGATCAAGCGCCGAGGATGCGGTGAAGTGCGGCCTTACCTCACATTTTTGTTTTTTAAAATCTGCCGGAATAAAAGTCAACTCTTTTACGGCTGCAGCGGTGTTAATATTGTGTCGCCGACGTGGCTTCGCTGGCAGGGCTGCTATCGGCCCGTAACAGATGGGGGAGGCTCGGCTACATGGCGCTGCGCTCTCCCGTAGCCACACGCTATCTTTAGAACAAGTTTAAAACTCGGTTGCTACATCAGCACTTTCTAGAGGTGCGACAACCCCGAAGAGGCCCGTGGGTCTGCCCTCCAGCGTAGTAGACCTGTGCCCACCGGCTATTTATTTATTTTATTTCGTCACGTACTTTAAACCTCGTAAAGGTGCCTCCGCGACGAGGCTGACAAAGGCGCGAGTGCAAACTGTTGTCTTGCTACGTTTTGTAAGTGTAGAGGTGTCGAATTATCCGATGCGAGACCATCCAGTTGCTGCATACGTGGCAAGCTGTTTTATTACAAACTGTGAAGTCGAGGCTAAAGGAATCACATGCCTCACTTCTCTTCATAAACCTTTGAGCCTGATTTCATTTAGGACACAAACTCCCTCTCCAAACTCAAACCGTTAAACACGAGTGACCAAGCGACACTTATTCATCTGAGACGGAACTGTCTCGTCTTATCCCACGCTGTGTTCAACCACCTCGCTTCAGGTCACAATGTTTCCCTTTCTGCTGCCTCCACAGCACTGCTCCCTCCCCAATTTGGAATTCCCAACCATCCTATCCTTTCCCGAGGCTCTTGCGATGGCAACCTTTGCCCGATTCCATAAACGCGTGAACTCGTACGCAGTACAACTATTTAACGGTACTGTACGTTGCTGGACACTTGGCATTTCGGGTCGCCTTTGGGCCTGCGTCCCAGCAATCGCATTTAAACAAACGAACACAAAACAAAACAATCGCTGTTCCTCGGCTCAGTGAGCGTTGCAGCGGGACAGAAGCAGAGCGAGGCGGCACTGTGCGGCAGGTAGTCATACCCAGTCATGCGGCACACCGAGCACGCCGCGCCACTCCGATGGCAGCGTGATTACGGCATTAGCCACACTCCACAGTAATTGTGGAGATTAAGAGGTTTGTCTGTGTTTAACAGCTCACACGGCCGCTAATCCCCGTTATCCCGACAAGATAAAGAGGGGCATCGTCGCACTCCGGCGGGACATGGCACTGTACTAAGCCCCCGGTGGAACAATCCCCACGACGACGACGCCGCCACCGCCGCCCTGCGGGCACCGCGCGGGACGATCCGCAGCCATGCACCGCCGCCACCTCTCGGGCATCTGCGGGCGTCCACAGCCGCACGTCGAACACTCGAACAGCCGCCTGCGAGCGGTGCCGGGTTTCACCCCGGCGCAGCCTGGGAATCGGCATCGGTGTTTGGGCGGCGGGAATTTAATTTGTGCCGAGAACTCGTATCGGCGTTTTTTTTTAATTGCGGTTCACCGCGTGCGGCTTTGATAATAGACCCCCGGGCTGACTGGGGAATCCGTCTCGGGTTGGGTCCACGGTGGAGAATGTGGCGACCGTGAGCGCGCAGTGATACGCACGTCCGTCTCCCCTCTCAAGAGCGGCGGCCGCGCAAATGGAAATGCTACCGCGGCCCGCTGACATTTTCTACAAATGCTTCTCCACTTTGTTTTGGGCCCGTCGGCAGAGTCCTCACATTCAGCGCTTTGCCTCAGCACTGCCGAGGGATCTCTTGCTGAGTTTGTGGTACCAGTGATTGTGGTAATTCCATTTAATAATTTTAATCGGGATATTTTCTGTAAATTGAAGTGGCACTCAATTTGAATGGTGACATTGAACTGTTGCAATAGTCACATTACATCCTTTTCTTAAAACCATTCTTAATGAGGAGACATCGCCAGGGCGCAAGCTCCTCTGAACAACTCCATCCGAGCGCTTTAGCCAGCGCACCCATCCGCACTGCAGCCTCCCTGTCCAGATAACGGCCCTCACATTGTCCCCGCAGTGCTGGCAATACGCGGTGAGTTCGCCGTTCGTGAGCGGTGAGGCTCAGCATAGATTATACCCTGACAGTTCCGCAACACGGTCACTAGCAGACACTTACAGTAACAGCCAAAGTGGACAGGGGCTGGGCAGTGGGTGGGTTCGGGAGCTATGGTGAGAGAAAGGTTTACACCTCGGTGACTCAGCCATGATGGACTCTCCGCCGCTGCGTCCCACACAGCAACGTTGACAAAGCGGAGACCGGCAGCAAGCGACAGCGGGGTGAGAAACTCGCGCTGATTTCCTGTCCGTTACAACCGCCCAAACTGCGGCGCCGCTCCCCTTTTGTTGGTTCTGCTGGAGGAGGCCGACCACGCTTGCGCCTAATATCGGAGGAATTTCTATTGAGCAGGGCATGACAATGAACAACATGGTCCTCGACGCTTTAAAAGTTTCAATGGGTAGCCCGTGATGATAAGTGGCTACAGGGTGCATCCACACAATCCTGGGTTGACACGTTTCACGGCCTTGTGTCAAATGGGCACCGTGCGCCCTCTGCATCGTACGTAGCGGCGGTGGATGAGAGACTCCTTTGACGTTCGTGGTAAGAATGAATGAATGAACGAATGAATGAATGTAAGAATGAATGATCCGTCGGACGAGATTGCTGAGAGGCAGACGGAGTGCGGTCACTCACGCTGCTTCCTCGGTGATCTCGTTTTGGACATCGGGATTTGATCGGCGGTCGCGCGCTCACGTGCCATGTCTACACCTGACACGGAGCCGAGTACATTATGTGTAACCGACAGGTGAGGGAACTCAAAAGACCAGGATCGAGACTCATTTACAAGAGCGGGCCCGGGTCACCCGAAACGACAAAAGCGATCATGTAAAAACAACAAAGTTGAACAATGAAGCAAATAGCAAAAGTCGCCAATAACAACCGCGTTGCAATCAATCGAAAACAGTCCACAAACATCGTCCACGTCGATGTCTCTCTGCTACGCTTCGTCGACAATTTCTCGTGCCTCAGTGCCCACGAGCACGGGAGACGAACCCACCAGAGTGAGAGAGAGAGAGCTGGTGGGACGGGACAGCGTGCACCCACACCTTCCCGTTCGGCACAGACAACTACTCCAACTCAAACTGGGGGGGGGGGGAACATCCCACTATCAAGAGAATAAAACCGCGTTTGGCCAATAGAGCCACAACCCACGCGCTGCACGAAGAAACTGATAGGGGTGTGGTTTTCAAGCGAGCAGATGTTGAAATCCATGCAAATTGCAAAAGGTCAGGCAATCCCTTCACACGAGAGAGAGGCAAGAGCTCAAGTGTTCCGGGGCGGGGGGGGGGGCGAGCGGCCTGCGAGTAATCACGACGACGCAGCCCCCCCCTGCCCCCGCCGGGAAGCTCCCAGGATGCCGGTAGTCACCGCCAATCACCGGCTCTTCAGCAGCGCCGGGGTTCACAGGCATGGGGCCAAGGCGGCACTGCCATTAGCCCTGGTTGTTGGAGCGGCGTGAGTGCGCCGTTTGTCACGTGTCCAGCGTGAGCGCGCTGTTTGTCACGTGTCCAGCGTGAGCGTGCCGTTTGTCACGTGTCCAGCGTGAGCGCGCCGTTTGTCACGTGTCCAGCGTGAGCGTGCTGTTTGTCACGTATCCAGCGTGAGCGTGCTGTTTGTCACGTGTCTAGCGTGAGCGCCAAATGAAGCAACTGGGGCAGCTTCCGTCTGCAATGGCAGTCCCCGAATCGGCAGTGGCAATTCCACATTCCTTTGTTCGGGGCTTGTTTCTTCTTCTTCTTCTATTTTCGATAGGACGACCGCTGTTATTCAGCCAACCTGGTGGCCACGGCGCAAAACACTCAGGAGACTATGAAGTCGCATAAAGCTCGGAAAATTCGACAGCACATCATCCCTCCGAGGCTGATAAAGCAAGTATCACCTTGTAGGACGCGCTTCGTAGTGAACACTGTGAATGTGTGCTTTGCTTTTAACAGGGCTGCCACCAGTCGAGGAATCGGCATCGGTGTTCGGGTGGCAGGAATTGATTTGTACCAATACCTGGCATCGGTATTTCCGTTGAACTTCAGTGGGGTTCACCGCGCACAGTCATGGTGGTAATAGACCTAGACTTGACTAAGGAATCTGCGTGGGTTTGGCCTACGGTGGACAAGGTGGAGACCCTGGCTTGAGGGCGATGTGTGCGACACGCAATCGTTTTAAACAGATGAGGCTGCCGCTGTTGCACAATGGGCACGGAGGGCGCCCCCCCCCCCCGCTTGCACTGGAGGTTGACGCGAGGTGAAACGAAGCGGCGAGACCCAGGCTCAAAGAGTTCATCCCTTAACTCCGCGTCGAGCGGAGGTTTTTACCGAGTTGAGCTCAAACACAATCTCGCTGATGTGAGCATAAAGCGCATCAGCGTGGCATACGCCCGCCTTCACATGTCTGCCCTACATCAAACGTTGACGTATTTTTACACATCCCCCTCATGCACGAGCCCCCCTGGAAGTGGATCATTTGAGCAGCGTTGGTTCAATACAAGCAACGCTCTGAACCGGTTTGACTTACGGTGCTTAATCGGCAGAGGGTAGCCTTGCTTGAAAACAATGCTGTTGAACTGCCAGATGTTTATGTGCAAGGACCATCTTTCTGCTAAATATTGGTCGTAGTTTAATGCAAAATTCAACAATAATATAATCACTAGCATCACTGTGCAGACTATAAGTAAGAAAATAAATACGCAGACATCTGCCTCCTTTTCATATGTACCTCAAAACGAGAAAGTATTTGAAACACGTCCCATGAGCCACACGGCCATCTGGGAGCGCGCGGTATTTCTGTGTAATGTAAGTACTAAAAGGAGCTCCCACGTGTCACACAAACGTGACACACTCGTGTGCAGGTGTCGCTCACCAGACCCACTCGCTGCCCGTGACCTTTAACCCCCATCTGGAGTGTACGATATTTCTGTGTAATGTAAGCACGTACAGGAGTTCGCGCGTGTCACACAAACGTGACACACTCGTGTGCAGAGGTCGC